CCATTAAGAGGAAGGTAGGACGTTTTCGGGAGAAGAATATTCAAAAATCGACGTATTTCTGCCGAACGGAACTGTGTGCTTCATGACGTGAGCTCTGTTATGCATATCGACGGTGTAAGTCGGCAATCACATAACTCGATTTGCAACGTCGCAGACTTCCTATCACACTTCATTTTTTAAACGGAAAACTACTCAATGGCTATTCTTTAAAACTCCAGTAATTTTTCTTCTCTATGCGAAAAAAATTCTGCAAAAACTTCAAGGAATCATGTCAATTAGTTCTCCACTAAAAAAATAACATAGAGGCGGAGATTTTCAGTCACCACAAACGAGTTATGTGATTGCCGACTGACACCGTCGATATATCCTTATGGGTCTCAGGGCTCATGTCTTGATGCACATTGTTCCGTTTGGCAGAAACACGTCCAAATAATCATTGCTGCCTTGTAACTTCGCGTTGTAACTGTCAAATTGCAGTCAATGTTTGTAAGTCGCATCTTCTTGAGAAAATGGATCGCATTTATATGTAACAGAAAGAAACCGGTTCAATTACATTACAGATCGTGTCTCTTAATCTTCATCTTAAAAGATGCAAAGAATAAGATCCTGTTAACATTTTTCAATACGGAGCTACGATTTCTGGCCAATATCGGAAACAACAGATACGTACACTTAGTTTTCCTGTGCAGATAGTTGCTTTCATGGATGAGCCAGAAATGGTATAGTTCTTGGTTGCAAAATGAAGTTCAAATAGTAATTACTTTTCTGATACGCAATTCCGCAGTTTTACCATCGCACAGTGGATTGAGTCAATCAGAGAGGTAGGATAAGAAATGTTTAACTAAATCCGCGAATTTTGACGTTAAACTCGTGACATTTTAAATTCCAGGGGATGAATCTTGTAGGATATTTCACGAGAAAACCAATGGAACCACTTTTGAAACCTTAAAATTTGGTACGCGTGGCGTTGTAAGCTTTTAAAGTTTCCAAATTGTGTCCGATCTTTCCCACTGACTCGATCCACTGAGCATCGTTGCGTTATCTCGATGAAAAACCTAAAACTGGTAAAAACCAGTCAGAAAATAGAACTAGGCTGCCACAGAATTGAGACAGTTAAATTTCCTGACATTTTCCTGATTTCCCCGACACATTTTCGTAATTTTCCCTGACATTTTCTTCATTTTCCCAGACATTTTCGTCATTTTCTCTGTCATTTCCAGGTTTTCTCTGACTTTTTAGAATTCCCTGACATGTCCCGGTTTTCTCGGTATTCCCTGAATGTGGCAACCCTGTAGAACCGACCTGGCGATACTCTCCTTTCTGAGATACTCAATCGGCGCACAGTGGATCGAGTCATTGGGAGAGGTCGGACATGAAATTCTTGACCAAAACTGCCCAATTTTAGTGTTTATTTCGTCACATTTTGAATTTCAAGGGGTGCTTCTAGAGGGAAATTTCATGAAAAAACCAATGGAACCACCTTTAAACCCTCAAAGTTTTGTATAAACGGAATTAAAAGCGTTTAAAGTTGCCAAATTTTGTCCGCCCTCTCCTATTGACTCGAGCCACTGTGCGGCGTCGCGTAAGTCCTAAAATATCGTCCCGAACGTTATCACCGCGCTCGGAGCGACGATTCGCCGCGCAAGTCATCAACGGGGGATCGTAATTAGTTCGTCAAAGGCGCAACAACAAATCAGGCGGAGTCTGTTAAGCGAAGCAAGAACCTGATAACCGCCCCGGAGCAAGGAGCAAGGAGAGCCCTCGACGGGCCAAGGGCGGGGAGGGGGTGGTTTAGACCATTTATTTACAGGCATCGGCTCGTTCGGGAGAATTGATTATCTTCTCGACAACTGTCGAGCGGTTAAAATTTTATCGGCCAGCGACGTTTCCGCGCCGCGCGCTCGAATTTATCAAGGGCCCGATCCGTCTTTCGTCTTGAGTCCTTTCATTACTGAGGCTTTATCGCTTCTTTGTCGACTGACCCGCGGGCTGATTATTGAAAGTGATAGACAAAGCGATAGACAAAG